CATAACTTGTAGCTGATGCACATCAATAACTCGTTGACAAAGAAGGCTGAAGAAAGCGCTTAGCCTGAAAATTGATAACCGTGGACCCTTAGGCAATAAACCTCTAATCGCAACTGGCAGTAGCTGCTGCATCAGGACATGGTAGTCATGTGACTTCAGACCCATCACCTTACACTCGTCTAATGCTACGCAGTTAGATATGTTGGAACAATAACCGTCTGGACCTTGGAAGTCAAATAACCGCTTGCAAAATGTTTTTTTCTCTGCCTTGGACAAAGACCATGGAGCTGCAGGAAGCAAAGTCCTTTTCCCTTGAGCTTTTGGATGTAAATCCAATCTGATACCAAGAGTCTCGAGATCCTTTCTGGCTTTGAGACCATCCTTTGAGTTACCACAGTGTAGCAATGTAGCGATTAAGCTAGAAGCCACATTCTTTTCGACATGCATGACATCTATGTTGTGTCTCACAGGCAGCTCCTTCAAAATTCAAAAAACGTAACAAGAGAAATTAGAATTAAATTTGTAAAAAGTAAGAGAATACATTGTAGTTCATGTAAACGCATTTAGTATAACTTTCATACCTCCCAATAAGGAAGAGTGAAGAAGATTGATCTTTTTTTCCATCTGGATAACTCCTCGTCTTTCTCTGCCAAATCTTCTTTATCCTCAGATGCACTGACTTCGTCTTCGTTATCAGAATGTGTTTCAGGTCGCGGAACTCTACTTCTTTTTTTCCAGTCTCTTTCCGATTCCCAAAGTCGTTCTTGTAATTTTTAAGCAATGAAGATACATTACGACCCGTTAGTATCCTTCCCTTGACGCCATGTTCTGTTCTACCATCAAACCAAGTCTTCTTAGCCCGAAAGCTATGTGAAGGAGACAAACCTTTCCTATGGCACATGTATACATGCTTCCTGCTATTAGCTAGCCACAAGCTATCCGTTTGTTTCCCAAAATAGGACATCCCATTTTTCCCTTAACCTTACAACCCGCCAGATTCCCGTACGCTGGGAAGTCACTAATAGTCCACAGAAGCATTGCTCTAAGAGTGAAGGTTGTTTTACTAATAGCATCGAAAGTTAACTCCCCGAAATTCCACAACTTAATCAGATCTTCTATCAGGGGTTCCAAGTAAACATCTATGCTATTACCTGGTTGATGCGGTCCAGGAATGAGCAGACTTAGCATAATGTTCTCTTCTTTCATGCATTGGTCCGGCGCCATGTTGTAGTTCACCAGCAAGACTGGCCAACTAGAGTATCTACTGCTCTTCATGCTAAAGGGATTAAACCCATCAGTAGAAAGACCAAGCCTCAAGTTCCTTTGCTCAGCTGCGAAAGATGGATATTTAGCATCCATGGAAGACCAAGTCGCAGAGTCAACAGGATGCCGCAACTTCCCATCTGTGCTCTTGCCTGAGAAATGCCATCTTAAATCGGAAGCTAGCTTTTATGATCTAAACATCCTTTTCAGACGAGGGATGATAGGAAAGTACCTTAACACCTTCTGTGGAACACCCTTCCTCACTTCACCCGTGTGTGTATTGATCTTCCATCTCGAGGCCTTGCATTTCGGACAAGTGTCTACTTTCTTGAGCTTCTTTCGGAAGAGACAACAGTCGTTTGGACACGCATGAATCTTTTGATATCCCATATCAAATGTCTTCAGAAACTTCTTCACGTCGTAAGTGGATGTATGCAGTACATTGTCTTGAGGCAACATGTGCGGCAAAGTCTCAAGTAAGTCGTTGAAGCTCTTGTCCGACCAACCATTCTGAGTCTTGATCCTGAACAAGGACACTATGGCTGACAGCTTGCTATGGCTCACACACGTAGGATACAATGGCCTCTCGGCTTCAGCAAGCTTTGCTAAAAACTCATCTTCCTTCTTGTCCTCTCCCTCAGCGAGTTCACCTAGATCTAAACCCTTACTAGCTAATTCTTCATCTAGACAGTTCGCAGCTTCGTATAAACCAACAATTTCAGAATTCCACACTCTATCTTGACCTACTGACATAGCAACCGATCTATCCTCTCCATGGTGAAACCAATCAGACTGTCTCTTGTAAGCTTCATCCATCCCGTTAATAACCAAATGAGACACAACCTCGTCGCATGTCTTGCGTTCTAAGTTGCGGCAACATGCACATGGGCAAATTATCTTCCCACTGACTCCTAACTTTTCACTAACTGTGTTAACAAAACCTCGAGCACCACACTCGTATGCAGAGTCAACTCTTCAGTTCATGAAAATCAAAGAAGAATGAAAAAGACAGTGATCAAGACTTTGTCAGAAAGATAAGCAAAAACTGAATAACAAAATGAATTGTATATACCTGCATAAATGCACCCAAGACTTGTCCACCATTTCTCTTACAAACTTAGTTATTTTCCTTCCCACGATTCAAGCAAGCGCACATGATTCAGTGTTTAGAGACGATAAATTAATAAGTGTAAGTGAAAACCATGAACAAAAACGTAAAAAGGATCCTAGAATTTACTTAGTCATACCCTAAATCTACATTTGCGAACTGAAAAATGTGAAGAAATCAGAAGATGTGTCTAACCTTCACAGCAAATCTTTGTCGAAGGATGCAAAATCCAAAGTACCAACACAATTCTGCAAGCAGAGACACAATAAGTAGAGACCAAAGTAAGTATATACCTTATGAAAATAAAGCTAAATTGTTTTTCGCTTCTACTGAAGCTGTTGAATATGAAACCCAATAGTATGAGAATACAGTAATCACATTTACGATTCAAGTCCACAGTATCAACCTCGGTGACAATTAAAGTCGGATTTGAAGAAACATTGACAATTATAGACTGATTCGAAGAAACTACAGACCAAATTTAACAAACATTAACTCACTTTTATATGCGGCTGCGAATCTGTAGAACTTGTTAATATGGGTTGAATTCGGAGGAGAATAGAGGAGATCCGGTTTGCGAGACTTAGGTACTGGAGCCCGTAGAGATTTCAGACGGAAAATGACAGGAAAACGGAGATGGCGAGCTTAGACGATGGCGACGGAGAGATAATCGTCTTCGAGAAGACGGAGAAAACAAAGAGATCTTTTTTTTATAATTAATTTGTGTTTTTTTTTTTTAATGCTATGAATAGTCTCTCTTCCTCTAATGACCGCGAAATCGTGTTTTTTTTTCTAAATGTAGGCGCTTAGTTGATAAAATTGGCGGATTAGCGTGTTTTTATTTGGCGCTCATATTTATTTCACCATAGCATATAGATAATGCTATAATAAAGTAAACCGAAACCTAAATTCACTTTTAATAGCAGTAAAAGAAAATGTGCTATCGTAATATGCTATGAATGCCCATATTTGTTGTAGTGATCGATTCCACTGGTCGAGTTGGAGCGTCGGGCTCTTGAACTCTTCCTCCTCCTCTGTGGGCTGGCTCCTTCTTCTCTTGGTTCAAAGGACGAGGCTCTGTGAGGTTCATGGGCCGGGAGTCTCCTTGGTGTGGTGAGGAGGGATCGACTCCTAGGGAAAGGGGAGGTCATTGGTGCCTTGTTTGGATGAGGAACCAGCCAACTTCTTCTCCAAACTCTTGATTTTGCTCACCATCTTGTCCATGGACTTTTGCATCTTCTTCATGGATTTCCCTTGCCACTTGTTGAACTTTTGGAGAAGTCCAATCCTCTTGTGAGCAGCCACAACAAAGGGGTTCATCCTTGGAGCTTTATACTCCTCGAAGTAGTAGCAATCAGGCTCGTCCAAATCCTCATCCACTTGGGCTCGATCCTCAGCTCGAGCCCCAACTCGATCCTCAGCCCTATCGATTTCAGGCTCCTTGATATACCTCTATTTTACATGCTTTTTATATTGTTTTACTATGCTTTTCATAAGGTTTTTAATGGCTTTCTCATCTAAAAAGGTAGTTTTTATGTATTTATAGTACTTAGAGTCAACTTTATAAGGGCCTTAAAAACATTATACTCAATGGACTTCATCAAATCCAGTTCGAAGCAACTGAAATCAATCAATTTGACCGAGTAGATTGGGAGATATCTCTATTTCCCTGAGACATATACCGAGGAGCTTTATCGGACTACATCAGTACATCAGACAAGCAGCAGAGGCCTGGACCCTTAAACTCAATGGAGTTCAATGAAACTCAACACCAAGATCGACAGATGAGTTATTGTTCCAATGCCGTTGGAAGTATGCAATTTGGATAAGCCGGTTAGGAGATATCACGTTTATACTGAAGACTGGTCCACAGCCGGCCGAACGCACTCGGCCGGACAGGAAGGGAATTTTCTTCGCTCGGCCTTCAACAGCTTTGATTTCAAAACTTTTACTGTTCATAACTCTAAATTGGAATTTACTTGCTCTTGCAACCATTATTCACTTTTCAATACACAAGGTATGTCTTCTAACTCTAATCCTATGTTTATGCAAGATCGAAATTCAATAAGTTTCTTGTTTAAACTCTTGTCTAAACTTGAAATTACATCTTATTAGTCTTGTAATGAACTTAGCTAGGTGGAACCTAGGTGGTTTAGAGTTATTTGAAGTTTAATTTCACAATTGAATAGTTTTTCACAAAACTTATTGGGCATTCCAAACCCCTCATTCAAAGGTGAAATTGCTTAGGCATACTTCAATTCATTAGTTTATCTAGTGATTACTTGGATTAGAAACTCAATTTCTCTTGATTTGCTAAAATTTCGATTTTAAGCACCATAATCTTGAGATGAACAGTAAAATCCGAAAATTAACTTTGAAAAAGTGAAATTTCCATTTTGTTTCTTTGATTCATGATTAAGCCTTGAGTTGTTCCATTATTCCATATCATTATTACAACTCAATTAGCTTATTTTCTTTTGCATTAATCACAAACTCATGTCTCTTCCCAAGAATTTGCTCTTGTAGGTACCCAATGGCAAAGACAAAAGGAAATGAGAGTATGAAGAAGAAGAAGATCCATTCATGGAACCACCAAAGAAACAAATCAAGCTAGGGAGTAGTAGCTCCAATGCAAGAGCAGCAATACACATCACCACCACATTCCATTGATGCAATCAAGAACATGTGGAGAGTCCAAGAAGAGAAGATGATTGGGCACTTGTAAGCTTTGTTGGAGAACAAATCCAAGACCCAAGAAAGTGCAAGAAGGCAATGGAGAAGGTGAACATAGAACCTTGTGTGAAGATGGACACCCAACCCTTGACCTTCTCAAGATAAGAGATGATGTCACATGGTATCTAAGGAAGCTAGGCTTGAGCAAGCTCTTCAAGCTAGAGTGTAGTGAGTACTCAATCACCAAGGAGTTCCTCTCCACAGTAGCTCTTGCCTTTCCCAACACAATGGAGACCAACCAGCTGGTGATGGACTCCTACTCTTCAAGATAGGCGATGCCAATGGGCGCATCTCCATCTCAGCTCTATGCCAACTCTTTGGACTTCCCAATGAGACAGCACATGACTTCAAGGAGAACTCAAAGAGGAAACAAGCTGCCTTTGCTGATTGGACACACTTTGCCAATGAACCATTCTTGCCTTCAAGATCAAAGGTGTCTAGAATCACTCATCCAGCCATTCGCTATGTGCACCGCCTCATCTCCACCACTTTCCAATGCAAACAAGAAGCCAACAAGGTCACAACTGATGAGTTCTACATCCTCACCACACCATTCATCAAGCATGAGTACAAGGCCAACCTTGGCCTTTTACTTGCCAAGACATTTATCAATGTGAGGAAGCTAGCTCAAGACTTGGAAGGCAACAAGAAGCTTTGTGTTCGTTTTGGGAGGCTTATCACGGCCATAGTACAACATGTGGGGATTGACATTCCCAACTATGAGCCACTACCCAAGCCAACCCCTTTGGATCTCCATGCTCTTCAGCAATCCACTTCCTAAACCGTTGGACTAAAGACCCAACTCAAGTTTTGCTATGAGTTTCCAATTGGTCCAACACTTCCCTTGTCTTGCTGCCACATGAAGATATCCCAAGCCTACGCTCAGGTGTTGTCACTTTCCAGCCCAAGGAGGAAGACTTCTATGTTCCATCAAGTGAGAAACCATTGATGTACTTGCATTTTACATAGTTTTAGTACATCTTTTATGCATCTTTTGCATAGTTTTAGCATCCATTAGCATCATATCTTGTTCCTTTTCTCTTCTTATGCATTCATAGTAGTTTTAGGTTGCATTTGCATACATATGCATGTTTGGTCCTTTGAAATAGGTCTTTTGGAGCATTTGGAGCATATGGGACGTGAGGAGCAAGGAAGGACTTGGTGCATGGACGCAGCTCAACTGGATACGCAAAGGAAGAAGGAGGAAGTCATCTTGAAGACCAGCTCGACCACCTACTCGACCAACCGGTCGAGTTCCCAACTCGACCGGCCAAGCTTCAACTCGATCGAGCTGAGAAGTCAACAGTCAAACCCGAAAAATGTTGCTTCCCCCTTGACTTCCTTTGACCCTAAACCTAATCCTCTTTGTATTTAAAGGCTCTAGCCACGAAAAAACCACCAAGCTTTAGATTACTTTTGTTTTAGCTTCTTTTTAATTTATTGTCTTTTACTTTTTAGAGCCTAATCCTCTCTTTGTGTTCTTGAAGCTCTTGCTTCTTGAATCCTAGATCTGGATATCTCTTTGTATTTGCACTTGCTTATTTCAATAAAAGTTGTTTATTTTATCTCCTCTTTCATATTGATGTCATTTCATTGCATTTGCTTGTGTTTACATTCATGTGTAGTGAGTAGTTTCCCATTAGGGTTTGAGATGGGATAGATTAGGGGATCTTTATGCTTAATCCTTCTTGCTTATGTTCTTAATCTAGAAATCTCTCTCTTTTGGACAAACCTTAAGGCTACATGACCACTACCCCTGGCTTGTATGTCCATAGGCGATTCTCCACATGGAAGTGATGGAAATCGTTGGAAAAGGTCCACTAAGAGCTCCAATAACTCTTATAATCGTTGGAA